TTTTCAAAGGTCTATTTGAGTGAGAATTGAGTGAAGAGTTGAGGGCTCATTTTGAGGTTTGAATCAATAGGGAATTGATTATTTCAACAAGGGTCCTAAAAGAGTTTGTTTAAAGGACGATGTGGGGACCATACACCCAATCACATCCAAAAGAGCTCAAATGTTAATGTGACATTTTGACTTTTACTGTAGGGAAAAAATGGTGTCTCAAAGGTCTAAACACAACATGTATTTGTTTCAATTTTGTTCCTGATTTTAAAGTAAAATGCAAAAACAAAAAGTGTTTATTGTGTTGTTTTCTCCCCCTTCTCGTTATGTTACGTGTCTAAATCTTAGTTTAAAGTGTATCAAACCCTAAAGGCTGGTCAACAATGCAGTTCTATTATATCTAACAATATTTCTCTGAGGTTTTTATTAGGTTAAGAGTCTGGGGAATGGTATTTTTCAACAAGGGTCCTAAATATGTCTGTTTTTGGGACATGTGGGGACCAAACTTATGTCCAGAAGTCCCCACAATGTGAACGTGACATTTTGAGGGGTTCTGAAAAAAAATGCGGTTACTTTTAGCTAACAAATGCGTCTCTTTAACCTCATTTATTGGTTTTGTATCAAGACTTAAAACTTAAGACAAAGCGTTTATAGCCAAATACAAATATTAACTAACAGGAAATCAAGTGAACTGTTGCCAGAGAAACAATCGTTATTATATATGTTTTGTATTCAAATATGTCTTAATTTCCTACATATGCAGGCAGGAAATTGTACTTCTTACTAAATGTGACAATTTAAATATATTTCTAATCGTATATACCCCAGTTTAGATTTATTCTTTCAACCACTTAATCCACTCACCCACCAATAAAAAAACAACCTCTTCATCTCTGCTCCTCCTTATAAGGTAAAATGTCAGAGAGGGTCAATGGAGATGAAGTCATCTCTTGAGTCACACACTCAACCAGGAAGAACATGAATGTTGCTCACACACACGCACACACACACACATACCATGTATACATCACTTCAGGGGACATTACATTGACTTACATGCATTTCCTGGAGACTTATCCTAACCTTAACCAACACATGCCTAACCCTTACCCTAAACCTAACCAAGTCTTCACCCTAAAATTAATGACTCCCCTCATGGGGACCTCCATTTTGTCCCCATAAGGGAGGCGAGTCCCCACACGTGACTGTGTGTACAGATTTAGGTCCCCACAAGAATAGTAAAGCTAGGCCACACACACACACACACACACACACACACCACACAACACACACACCACACACACCACACACACACACACACACACACACACACACACACACACACACACACACACACACACACACACACACACACACACACACACTTCTAATTTTTAAATATCTCAAATTAAAACATATAATAATGTATGTAATATATAATGAACTTGATGAACTACTCTTGTTTACAATGTCTCTGTTTTCAAAGCTGCCGATATCCCCTCCGGCTGTTTCACTGTTTGCTCTTCCGTTCAGATAAGAGCTTTCACCAACGGCTTCTTAAAGGTTTCACCGCAATCCAATTAGTTTGATTCAGAGCAGAGGGGGAAACATGTGGGATATGTTTTCAGTGGCAAACTAAATGAAAGTCACTGAAAACCTGAATTGATTTGGACAATAAAAACATTAGAGATTTATTTCCTTCAAGACTTTAAAGGACTTTAAAGAGGTCTGTGTTGTTCCACTGAAGGCAGCTGCAGACGTTAATCTCTTTATCTTCTCCATAAGAACCCAGAATGGAAACAACCGACTCACGTGGAAAAACACACCCTTTGATTTTGAAATGGCAATTTTACAATTCGGAAAATTTCTTAAATTGATTAATGAGCAATTGAGAGATGATGTCACTCTGAGTCAGCTTTAACAGCGGTTTCCAAGATAAGTATTTTCCAACATGCCATCTATGATGAAACACTTTCCAGCTGCTCTGTCGCCCCCTGTTGACACAATGAGATAGTAAACACTTCCACATATTTGACTTTATGAGGATACTGTATATATCGTACTGTACATCAGTGTCTTGCAATGTTATTTAATCTTACTCTAAATGTGTTTTCTTTATTTGATTATAAATGTTATTTTTTAATCTATTATTTAATAATTAGTTGTGGTATATATATATTTTAATACAATTATTTATTTATAACAATATGACTGTATATCAGTGTCTTAATCGGACTCTAAATGTGTTATTGTTTTCTTTAATTAACTAATTTTTTATAGATTTAACTTAATTTTGTTTAATAATTAGTTGTGGTATTTCTTTGAATCCCTTTTTTAATAATATTATTTATTTAGAACCATGACTGTATATCAGTGTCTTGATGTTACTCTAAATGTTATTGTTTTCTTTTTTTAAATATTATAATCTCCTTTAATATATTGTTTTTTATATATATTTGAATTTTCTTGAATTTTAGTAGTTTAATTATTATTAGTTTCTTCATTTTAAATTACATTTTTTTTAATATTTATTTTATTAAAACATACGGACAAACTAGGGCAATAACAATGATTAAATAAATACATTTTTAGCAGCATTAACATTTTCTAAAAAGCCCCAAAACACAAAGGAGACACAATATTTATATTAAATCACATTTTACTTTTATTATCTCTTCGATACATTTCTACAAACATACATTTTTCTGTCATTCAGGATATTTATGCTGCAAAAGGCATAACGTCTTTAATTACATGTACAGAAATGTACATTCTCTCCTCACTGCGGTTATTTTGCAATCCAGGAATTGTCTAAATAAGTCACCGGATGTTTTTCTCGTCTCCTCAGAGGGAAACTGAGAGATCTGATAAAGACTGAAGGTCGTTGGTTTTCCCACAGACTGGTTTCTGGCTGATATCGCTTTCACTTTGCTCCTTTATCATAGCTGGAGGAGCTTCATTTCCATCGCAACACAAACAGATCTAGCTTCGACATGACATGGGAAAATACGGTGGATTCATACGTTGTCAGTTGTGGTGAAAGCAAAGCATCCACTCAGCAAACAAAAACATCCTTTAATTGAAAACAGGCGAAGTAAAGTAAACGCGACAAAGCAGGGCTCCACAATGAGGAAGAAATAACTGATATTTTGTCTAATATTCATTCAAGATATTATCATTTTTTAAACATCAATAAAAATGAACTTTGTGTGATTTTTTTTAAGAGGATCTGTATTTAAAAAAAGGGTTTTTCATTACGTCCAGGACCTCTCTGCAGCTCCACAACACTACTACAGTTGTTCACATATCTTATCTAATGTGATTTAGTTATTGCACTAGTCCTTGTTGCAAATTTGTTAAAATCTCTATTAATTATGCACTTTTTTTTTTTACTATGAATGCATTTATGTTGAAGTAAAGAAAGATGAATTAGTGTAAGAAGTCCTGTATGTCTCCACCTCTCACTTTTCTACCCCTATATGATTGGTCGAAGCAGGTGTGTTAACGAGCGCTCGTTAGCTGCACACACCTGATTCTATTAGCCAATCAGACGTGAGGACAGACACATACACACTTATACCCCTATACGATTGGACGAAGCAGGTTTGTTAACGAGCGCTTGTTAGCTGCACACAGCTGATTCTATTAGCCAATCAGACGTGAGGACAGACAGACAAACACACTTATACCCCTATACGATTGGTCGAAGCAGGTTTGTTAACGAGTGCTCGTTAGCTGCACACAGCTGATTCTATTAGCCAATCAGACGTGAGGACAGACAGACAAACACACTTATACCCCTATACGATTGGTCGAAGCAGGTTTGTTAACGAGCGCTCGTTAGCTGCACACACCTGATTCTATTAGCCAATCAGACGTGAGGACAGTTGGAAACACACAAAGAAATCCATACGGGGATGTTATGTTACTTGGCTTTCGATTCGAGTCGTAATTTCCACATAGATGGAATATAAAATAATTGTTATGACATATTATAAAAGTGTCAGAAACACAGAAATGGGAAAAATACAAAACCAATGTGGCTATTGAGGCGATGTTACGAGCGACTTTAGGATGCAAGCCAGGATGTTATATCGTCATAGCAACAAACAAACCCTTTGATTTAAAGTCAAAACAGGAGAAACATTTCCGAAATAAAGTTCTTAACATAAAAACACAAGAGGGAAATCAGACAGATTTTCACAAGTGCTGGAGTAGAGCGACCCCTTCTGGGTGAAAAGGGAACTGCATCTAAAATATAATTGGACTTTTAATGCTTTGAATTCACACAAAACACACAGATTGATCGAGTGAAATCTGAGCAGAGATCAGTGTTTTTGGAACTATGTCATGTCTGCATGTCCTATTTTATTGAATGCACCAAAATAAGTGTATTGCTTTTAATGTGGATGTCTTCTGATTGGAGAAACAGCGACTACACATTACTGATTAGTTTGTTAATAATGGCGTTTCATGAAAAATAATACGTGGATCATTTAAAATATCCACTAAGTTAGGTTTCGATTACACATTTCATTTGGAATAAATCCACGCATCTAGCTGTGTTAAAGCAACATAGTCATGGTTTAAAAATGGAAAATAATATCTCAAATTACCAAAAGCTGCTGCAGACTTTCCCAAACTGTGACAATAAAAAGGGTCAAATTAAGAAAACTGAATATTACCAGCAGAAAAACCTATTTGATACAACTTATCCCCAACCCACCTGGATAAAGTTATACTTTCGTATGGAATCACAGGCGAGTGCACTGAACAGCTGGTAGTGTAAACAAACATGAAACGCTCACCACTGCTGACAGAAAATCATCCTAAAATCTGTGTCCTAATCAACATAATAAACTCATGTTTTAGTTTCATCTTGTTGGAAATAGTGGCGACCAATTCTTCACCACATTTTGTCAGTTTCTCTCCGTGAGTGTTTCTTACCTCTTAGAGTACATACAACCACATTACCAGGTTAAGTTGGACTCCAATTCCCATGATGCATCACTCCTAGGGTTAATCACAGGCTCTTCTGTGAGTAAAAACCTGTTGCAAGTCTTTCGATCCTCCTTGAGTTCAATATCTTGTCGATCTGAGGCTTTGTTTTGGACATTTCTGTCGTGCAGTCTGCAGGAAGGTGTCTCACAGGGAGGAGGAGGAGAGAGGGAGGAACAGTCCACAGCATCATTTCTGTTTTCATCCCTCCTTCCTTCGTGTTCATTTCCTCGTGCTTTGGTTTTATTTCTGCAGATCCTGAGGCGCGCTGAATGTCTCGTAGACGTTGGCTGCAAACTGCTTCACCTGGTCGTTCATCAGCAGGTCCTTCAGGTAGAGAGACAGGAAGTTAGAGACACTGGAATGGAAATACAACACGAGGGGGAACACTGTAGCCTGGAGTCACCTGAACAAAGTGGCTGGGAGTCTCACTGCAGATGGAGTTGATCTGCCCGTTGATGATGGGGATGATCTTAGCCAGCGGCAGACTGACTGCAGACAGACTGGACACACACACACACACACACACACACACACACACACACACACACACACACACACACACACACACACACACACACACACACACACACACACACACACACACACACACACACACACACACACACACACACACACACACACACACACACACACACACACACACACACACACACACACACACACACACACACACACACACACACACACACTAGGAATCAGCCAAAACCTTCTGTAATTGTATCTTATTAAAACACCACTGTATAAATATTGTAATGTTAAATACATGTTATACATTGAGCACAATTTGTATCTAACTTGTTATATTTATACAAAAAATGTATGTGAAATTAAATGGTAAAATTAAGCAAGTCCAAGAAAGATAAATAAGCCACATTTCTCTCAGGATAAATGTAAGTAAGACAAACTCAATCAAACTTCTACAGCCCTTAAAGACTGGAAATATATAAGAAAAAGATCTCAAATGTATTCTGTTAGAAATGAAACGATTCATAATAATAATAATAATACATTGGCTTTTCCTAGCGCTCAAAGACGCTTTACATAAAATCAGAAACAGTACAAAGAAAACAAAGAAAACAAACAGTAGTCCTAATCCAAGTGCGAGTAAAGTGTGATTTATATCTTGTGAAGCAGCTGACCTATCAGGAGCAGCGAAGGGGGCGGAGTCACCGGGCGGTGGACGGAAGAACTCGGCGAGGTTATCCAGAAGTCGAGAGAAACCGCGATTAAAACTGGAGTTCAGGACGGTGCTGAAGTCTGGACTGGAGTCACACACACACACACACACACACACACACACACACACACACACATCAGAATCACACAACACACACGTCTACCGGTGCACACACACACACGTCTACCGGTGCACACACACACACACACACACACATCAGAATCACACACACACACGTCTACCGGTGCACACACACACACACACACACACACGTCTACCGGTGCACACACACACGTCTACCGGTGCACACACACACACACGTCTACAGGTACACACACGTCTACCGGTGCACACACACACGTCTACCGGTGCACACACACACACACGTCTACAGGTACACACACGTCTACCGGTGCACACACACACGTCTACCGGTGCACACACACACGTCTACCGGTGCACACACACACACGTCTACCGGTGCACACACACACGTCTACCGGTGCACACACACACACACACGTCTACAGGTACACACACGTCTACCAGTGCATACACACACACGTCTACCGGTGCACACACACACACACACGTCTAGAGGTGCACACATACACACACACACACGTCTACAGGTACACACACACGTCTACAGGTACACACACACGTCTACCGGTGCACACACACACGTCTACAGGTGCACACACACGTCTACCGGTGCACACACACACACGCCTACCGGTGCACGCACACACACGTCTACAGGTACACACACACGTCTACCGGTGCACACACACACATCTACAGGTACACACACACGTCTACCGGTGCACACACACACGTCTACAGGTACACACACACGTCTACCGGTGCACACACACACGCCTACAGGTGCACGCACACACACGTCTACAGGTACACACACACACGCCTACCGGTGCACACACACACGCCTACCGGTGCGCACACACACACGTCTACAGGTGCACACACACGCCTACCGGTGCACACACACACGCCTACCGGTGTACACACACACACGTCTACAGGTACACACACATACGTCTACCGGTGCGCAAACACACACGTCTACCGGTGCACACACACACGTCTACCGGTGCACACACACGTCTACAGGTGCACACACACGCCTACCGGTGCACACACACACACACACGTCTACCGGTGCACACACACACACGTCTACAGGTGCACACACACGTCTACAGGTGCACACACACACACACAGTTGAGAGGTTTACCTGTCGAACATGTCCCTCGTCTCGTTCAACAGTCTGATCGTCACCACGTCGTTTTCTGTCAGCCCGCAGGCCTGCAGAGGAGAGGAGATTCATTTAAATGAACTTTCTCAAGAACATCATGACAGGCAACGTGTCCCACGTATCCGAGTTTATTATTGAGCTTCAAAACCATTTGAAGGAAGGCTACTAAAAGAAGACATGTACATGTACATGGCATGTAATGCAAAAACACAAATAAATAAAACAGATGAAAAAACACAAGGCCTGTCTGTGTGAATAAAGGCGTCCCGCTGATGGTATTCATCGTGAATCCGGGGATGACCAGCTTTTTGGCCATTTTTGGATGAGATCGCTTGTGAGGAGCTGGCAGACTGTTGGGAAAATGAAAGCCTCATAACCATAGACTGCCATCCTCACAGTGATGACCCGTGTGCTTATGAGGACATCATTTTACCAGATACTATGACCGGAGAGACTTAAGTTTGTCCGCTTTAACAGATTTCCAAAGTCCGGTAGATACTGTCCAACGTACGTGTGTGTGTGTGTGTGTGTGTGTGTGTGTGTGTGTGTGAGTGAGAGAGTGAGAGAGTGAGAGAGAGAGAGAGAGAGAGAGAGAGAGAGAGAGTGTGTGTGTGTGTGTGTGTGTGTGTGTGTGTGTGTGTGTGTGTGGTGTGTGTGTGTGTGTGTGTGTGTGTGTGTGTGTGTGGTGTGTGTGTGTGTGTGTGTGTGTGTGTGTGTGTGTGTGTGTGTGTGTGTGTGTGTGTGTGTGTGTGTGTGTGTGTGTGTGTGTGTGTGTGTGTGTGTGTGTGTGTGTGCGTGTGTGTGTGTGTGTGACCTGGTCAGCGAGGGCGTTCTGGTCGTCAGCGAGCAGGAACCAGGACATGTTGCGCTCGCCGGCCTCGACCTCGGCTCTGATCCAGCTGAGCTGCTGCTCCACCTCCATCAGGGAGAGGCTCTGCTTCAGAGGAACGCTGCGGACAACAAGTCCATTATTACGTTACAATAAAGCCTCTATCAAAGCTCCCCTATTAAACTGTTCTTCATCAATATATCACAGGTCTCAGATATATCCAGAGCCTGTCTCTGATTGGCTGAAACACCAAACAGATCATTGCAGCATTACCCATAATCCCCTCTGTTTCAGCCCTGTTTCCAAAGTGCTGATTCTCTGTCTGTTACTTTAGATGAAAATAAGGAGCCCCTCCCCACGCCCCTCTGAGAGAGCATTTGGTTACAAAGAACACAATGGTGCTCTAGGAGGAGATTCAGGTGATAAGGGGGGGGGGGGGGGGGTTACCTTGGTTGCTGATTGGCTAATGGTTACACAAGACAAAACATCGTTATGACATCATAAAGTGGCCAAAATCTGATCAGCTCATTTTCAGACAGGTTTTTATAGAAATGGATCAAAAGAGAGAGAATCTTTGTTCCTGAAACTTTCAGAGTCTCTTTCCACAGAGGGGACACATGTTGATGTAGAAGAGACATGAAGAAGAGGGGACACATGTTGATGTAGAAGAGGGGGACACATGTTGATGTAGAAGAGACATGAAGAAGAGGGGACACATGGTGATGTAGAAGAGACATGAAGAAGAGGGGACACATGTTGATGTAGAAGAGACATGAAGAAGAGGGGACACATGTTGATGTAGAAGAGACATGAAGAAGAGGGGACACATGTTGATGTAGAAGAGACATGAAGAAGAGGGGACACATGTTGATGTAGAAGAGACATGAAGAAGAGGGGACACATGCTGATGTAGAAGAGACATGAAGAAGAGGGGACACATGTTGATGTAGAAGAGACATGAAGAAGAGGGGACACATGTTGATGTAGAAGAGACATGAAGAAGAGGGGACACATGTTGATGTAGAAGAGACATGAAGAAGAGGGGACACATGTTGATGTAGAAGAGACATGAAGAAGAGGGGACACATGTTGATGTAGAAGAGACATGAAGAAGAGGGGACACATGTTGATGTAGAAGAGACATGAAGAAGAGGGGACACATGCTGATGTAGAAGAGACATGACGAAGAGGGGACACATGTTGATGTAGAAGAGACATGAAGAAGAGGGGACACATGTTGATGTAGAAGAGACATGAAGAAGAGGGGACACATGTTGATGAAGAAGAGACATGAAGAAGAGGGGACACATGTTGATGTAGAAGAGACGTGAATAATCAGTAACAGAGACTCACCTTTCCAGAGCGTTCTGCACCGCTTTCTTCACTACCGTTATCAACTCTGTCAAACCTGCAGAGAAAGACAAAAAACAAATCAAAAACAAACGAGAATAAATAAATACAGGCGCGATGTGTGTGTGTGTGTGTGTGTGTGTGTGTGTGTGTGTGTGTGTGTGTGTGTGTGTGTGTGTGTGTGTGTGTGTGTGTGTGTGTGTGTGTGTGTGTTACCGTCTCCCAGTAGATGATGGATGCTGGACAGGTACTGCTGCTGGACTTCAGGAGGAGCCATAGGACTCTTTGAGGGAACACACAAATAACAGAGATATTGAAATAAATCTAAAATATTTCTACTTAATTTGCTGTGTTTTTTTATTTTATTTGAAAAGATCCTTTCTGGGGTTTTTACAGAACAACCCAGACAAAATATTCTGCAACACCTTCAACTCTAAACATAAGTAAACCTTTTGAAATGTTTCCCCGTCTGAAACTCAATTATAGCTCCTGGGAAGCTTCCTTTAAAACACAATCTTCAAAGACATCATGAGATAAACAAGGTCCTCCAGAAATATCACTAAGAGACACACAGACTTTCAAGAAGCCTACAATTAAACTTCCTGTAGACTTTTTGAACACCAGCAAAACTCTTACGTAGCTCGCAGGTGGGCGAAACTCGACCAACAACCAATCGAATGAATCTCCCGCCCCGGACACACAAGCACGCGGTTTGATTGGCTCGAGCTTGTACTGGCATGTGATTTGATTGGCTGATGCTTCCCTCGAAGCTTCAAAAATTGAACTTTTCTCAACTTTTGAAGCGAGCAACGCGAATTGACCGAACCACAATGCAGTTCGGCAAAGCGTGACGTCACCCCATTCAAAGTGAATGGGAAGAAGCGCACGCCGCCATGTGGACGGGACGTTACGGTGACTTCGTCCAGTTTCATAGAAATGGTGAAAAATAAATGTGACTTTCTGAGCCTTTATTTATTTATCTAATCTCCCACTGGTTTTAACTCCCATAGTCTTTCAAGGAACTCATTTTATTGTGTCTTTATATCGCCAGGGACCCGAGCACCATGCTAGTTACAAATGTTGTATGAAGGAAATGAACCAATCACACGACACGGTGAAAGTGTGGATCTTATTCTGAGACTCAAGTATAAGAAGCTGTAGCGTACACTCATTTTTAAGAGTGCGCTTCAGACCTTCCTTTTTGATAAAGCTTATAGTTAGGGCTGATTAGATTCCAGCCCCTAGTTTTGCTGATATAGGCTTAGTTTGTCGGGGGACATCTTACTTCTTCCTTCTCTCTGTCTATACCTGTGTACTCTCATGTTCCGATTAACCCAGCTTCCCCACATGTCTTTCTTTTTGGTGTCTATATACGCCGGGATCCGGAGTCATGGATGATCCTGCGCTCCTCTGTCCTGCATCGCGAGCCCTGGATCTTGAGTCGTGGCTGTGGTCCTGGATCATAGGTCCTGGATGGATATCCTCGTGGATTCATCTTCCTATTATACACACATGCATTTCCAAACATTTGGACTACCTATGTTGCAAATGTATTATCTTTTCAATTTACACACGGCATCTATTGCACGTCTGTCCGTCCTGGGAGAGGGATCCCTCCTCTGTTGCTCTCCCTGAGGTTTCTCCCATGTCCCTTTAAACTGTGGGTTTTCTTCGGAAGTGTTTCCTTGTACGATGTGAGGGTCTAAGGACAGAAGGTCTAAGGACAGAGGGTCTAAGGACAGAGGGTCTAAGGACAGAGGGTCTAAGGACAGAGGGTCTAAGGACAGAGGGTCTAAGGACAGAGGGTGTCATATTGTCATACTGATATTCTGTACACACTGTGAAGTCCACTGAGACAAATGTAACATTTGTGATATTGGGCTATAAATAAACATTGATTGATTGACTAGAGGTACAGAGAGTGTCTCCAGCTTTTGAAATATCATGTCAAATATTTAAATAAACAAATAAAACATCATCAGATCAACACTTAACTCCACTTGTGTAAACGGATTGATGGAATTACCACCATTTCCCACATTAAGAGGACTGTGTTGTTATCAGACACATAATCAGTTGTAATGTTACTTTAAGTGCTGTTTTTAAGACAGTACTTAACAGAAGGTTATGAATGTTGGGCTCCTTCCTCACCGGGGAGCTCTTGCCCACAGAGTTGTCGAGGTACAGATATCCTCCGATGATGTTCAGCTGCACTCGGAGCAGAACCACCAGCATGCAGGTGCTGTAAACCCCCACTATGGTGCGCGTGAAACCTGCACAACATCAAATGTTAGATTCTGAAAAACCCCAAAACATGTGAGACATTACACAGCGATTATAATGTTTAGTGATGTCTGATGGGAGGAAAATAACTTACTGAGGATCTTTAAATCTTCCCAGATCTCCAGCTTATTGGCTGGTCTGTGAGACGAAGCGAAAAAACAAAATTAGAGTTTGCTTTTTAATCATCAAGACTGTGAGTGTGTCATGTCTCTGCAAACAGTAATGTAACGCATGGACTCTTAGTACACAAATCAATAAATATAGAAACAACATATATAATGTGTTAGCATTAACAAAGTATTTTCCCCGTAGAATCAAACATATATACGAATGTGTAAAACTATCTTCTACTATTTTACAGTAAAAAGCATTTATACTCACTTCTCCTTGAGTAGTGCAGTGAGGCTTTCTGAATTCAGCTGATTGGTGATGGCTTCTTTCAGAGGAGGGAGCATGGACAGCACTGCAACACACACACCGTACAAAGAGTCAAATCAAACATGTAGAAAGCAAACATTAAATCCTTATTTGTTCGTCTTTTTAAGGAAATGTATGAAGTCTCACCGGTCATGTTGCATGTCCTCTGGTTGCTCTCAAAGTGAAACTGTCTTCTGGCCTGAGAGATGTAATCTGACGCCTCCTTCTCCTGCATGTCACTGAGCTTCTTCTGGGCATATTTACCCAGGAAGTACACACCTGGAGGACAACAACAAACATTACAAAGTGTAAATAACTGATAATAAACACAGAAAATAACCCCTTTGTTCTATTCAAACTGCAGGTAGGACCACTAGCATTTCATATTGAGTAGATAGATAGATGGACAGATAGATGGACAGATAGATGGACAGATAGATGGATAGATAGTACGACAGACAGACAGACAGACAGAGAGACAGACAGAGAGACAGACAGACAGACAGAGAGACAGACAGACAGACAGACAGACAGAGAGACAGACAGACAGACAGAGAGACAGACAGACAGAGAGAGAGACAGACAGACAGACAGACAGACAGAGAGACAGACAGACAGACAGACAGACAGACAGACAGACAGACAGACAGACAGACAGACAGACAGACAGACAGACAGACAGACAGACAGACAGACAGACAGACAGACAGACAGACAGACAGACAGACAGATAGACAGACAGACAGACAGACAGACAGACAGACAGAGAGACAGACAGACAGAGACAGAAGACAGACAGACAGACAGACAGACATATAGACAGACAGACAGATAGACATATAGACAGACAGACAGATAGACACACAGACAGACAGACAGACAGACAGACAGACAGACAGATAGACACACAGACAGACAGACAGATAGACATATAGACAGATAGATAGGTAGATAGATAGATAGATTGAGTCTTTACTAATCTCTTTTTTAATGAAGCCTTGCAAGCAAACTCAACTCTTTCACTGCATTCATCAACCAATGAATTATAATGTCATAATTTAATTTGCTTTAAGTCTTACCCTAACCCTATTAATATGAATGAAAACACACTTTCAATAACTTCCCATGCTTACTTAATGCTACAAATATTTGAAGTAGTTCATTAGCTATCATTAATTATTACATAGTCATTAGCAAGTCACTGTTTAGCATTGTAGCTATCCAATGTTCACTTGTCATGCTTCACACTCACCTAGCTTTAAAGAGCTTAGATACAAGTCAATATGCTAACATTGCATTGCACTCACACCAGACTCCATGCAACTTTTAAGTAATTTAAGGATTTTTCGCTCACTTACAAAACCTCAAATAACTTTAAAACAAAAAGATTGAAATACTTTTAACGTGGTATACAAGCTGCAACCTACACAATCTTTATTTCAATTAATGTAGCTTTTGTCTTTTGGTCTACCAACAGTTCTTGAAGTAACATTGAAACTGATTATGTGTCTGAGAACAACAGTAATTGTCATCTTAATGTGGGAAATTGTGGTAATTCATGTATGCCGAATAGCAAATGCATGCTACTCAATTCTTAAAAATACTTGAAACATATTTTTAAAGCGTTAGTTAATTCAATAAATATCACACATCAAAAATGTTCATTGCAGTGCAGCATGTTGCTAGAGCTAAGAGCTAGCTCCGATGCTAACATTACCTCCAACTAAAGCTCCGGTGAAAATAAACTTCCTTTTGTGGCGTTTCACAAAGTTCCAGACAGATGAAAACATGATCAGGCTGTGAGATGTTAAGAAACTTCAACTCCACAAACTGTTTGGACTGATTAGTTTACTGACATTTCATCTGAGGACTTACAGGCTAGTTAGCAACTTCTAGCTAACATGCTAACTGTCAAAAGAGCCAAAGTTCGTCAGTCAAGCTAAATGGAACACAGAGGACAACTTCCGGTTATTGATGTCAAAATACGACACGAAGGACATAAGTCATAAATAAATGAATGCATAAATACAGGAATAAATACAGGAATACAAAAATATAAGTATAAATAAATGTGAAACAAAAAACCGAAACAAAATAAATGTGGAAATAAATACAGGAATAAATAAATGAAAGTTGAAAATAAAACAGAACACACATTATATATCTTTAATGTATTTCTACATTTATTTCCACTTACATTTATATATTTATTCATTTACGTGTCTGTGTAAACTATACATCTTCATATCGTCTCTCGATTTAATACACTTTTTTTTGTTTAAACCTGTTTCTATTGGTCGGATCTAGATCACGTGACCCAGCTGCTGTTTTGACGGGAAGGAAATGTCAAAACTTTTCCTGTTTACTGTCGTTTTAATCTCTATTTTTGAGGCGTGTTACTGGATATCTTTCTCCAGAAATGTCTCCTTAACACACTGCCCGTTTATTCAGTGTATTAATGAGGATGTTGGAGTAAATGTGTCATATTCCGGTTTACATTCATCCTACTACAGTCAGTTTGACTCATCGAACGCATCCGCATGAACGTTTTGGAGTTCGATCGATTGCTCATGTCTTGAACTGGTCCGTCTAATATTATCATCCCCCGCGTGTAAACTACAGCGGAAGAAGTCGTTACTAAAGAGCGAAGAAAATAAGCTACGAACATCCTTATCATCATCTAAAGTATGATTTTATTTAAGTAGAGTTAAGTAGCAGTCACCATGGGAACAGATGAGAGTTTCTATCCGAGTGAAGAGGAGATTGAGAAATGGATGTCCAGCGCATTTGATATGGTGATTAAAACATTTCAGCCAAATATTGTAAATTTACAGTTGTTTTTGAAGATTTCTGGTTACAGCTGTTGTTTTCATTAACGTTTTTAGACATAATACATTAAGGGTGTAACAGGAATGTCTTGCCACCTATTATTAGCTTGGTGCTGATTTTACAGGAGTTCTGCAGGATGGTTTAATTACTATAATACACGTTAAGCTGTCCTTAAATATCCACCAAACAAGTATAACAAATTATTTAAAAATATTTAATCAGGAAATCATAATTTTACCTGACGGATGATAAATACACATATAATTAATTAACGAAAAAGTTCCATATTTGTCCTTGTTGAAACACTTTTAAGACAAAAGTATTATTTTTAAAGTAGAATATTAATATTAACAACATGTACAGTTCAAAAACTCTTTTAAAATTGCAAAAATCACAGAAAGAAAACGATAACAACATATAAGAAGAAATAAGATAATAAATACAAGCAGTAAATAAATCATTGATACTTGTTGCAGCCCTCATCTTTATTAATAAGTGTCAGTGACTGTACCGTCTGAATTCCTCTTCTTCTGTGTAACACTCTCTGATTGTCCTCAGTACTGCATGTTGACCTTCTGTGAATGTGTCTTCAGGCGAGAGAGGCTCTGCAGAACGGAGAGGTGCCGGTCGGATGTCTGCTCGTCTACAACCATGAAGTGGTGGGAAAAGGGAGGAACGAAGTCAACGAGACCAAAAATGTAAGAAAACGTTTTTCCTGTTTCTTTATGCAGAAATCTGTGAGTTTACCAAACATGCAGACCAGCAGGGATTCAAATATCTATGTTTTGTCTTGTCAGTAAGTCGTAAAAACCAAAGCAATAACTTACTAATTGGATAGTTTGTGGCAATGCTACTGTATTTATATTCCCCATCACATCAGTGGTAAACTCAATGTGCTTTACATTCCAATTGCACAAGCAGAATATCTAATATCTTGCATTTCTCGTGACCATTACATGTTAGTTAAAGTTCCACTATTTATAAATAGACATGTTATCATGCAAATACACCGAGTTCACTTCTTAAAAACTATTTAAAGGAGGAGTTCGGCATTTATCTGGCAAAACAACAAACAACGTACATCTCCCCTCTGTGGGACTAATAAAGGGATTCTGGTGTGGTGTGTGTGTGTGTGTGTGTGTGTGTGTGTGTGTGTGTGTGTGTGTGTGTGTGTGTGTGTGTGTGTGTGTGTGTGTGTGTGTCAGGCCACCCGTCACGCTGAGATGGTCGCCCTGGATCAGCTGCAGGATTGGTGTCGCCGTAGTAACCTGGATGTGAGGTGTGTGTGTGAGCGTACGGCGCTGTACGTCACCGTGGAGCCGTGCATCATGTGTGCTGCTGCCCTGCGTCTCTTCAGTATCCTGCCCTCTGTGTGTGTGTGTGTGTGTGTGTGTGTGTGTGTGTGTGTGTGTGTGTGTGTGTGTGTGTGTGTGTGTGTGTGTGTGTGTGTGTGTGTGTGTGTGTGTGTGTGTGTGTGTGTGTGTGTGTGTGTGTGTGTTCCTTGACGCTGTGTCAGAGCTGCCGGTGGTCGTGTTCGGCCCTGTGTGTGTGTGTGTGTGTGTGTGTGTGTGCGTGCGTGTGTGTGTGTATATAAGAGTGTGTGTTCCTTGACGCTGTGTAAGAGCTGCCGGTGGTCGTGTTCGGCTGCAGGAACGACCGGTTCGGAGGCTGTGGGTCCGTGCTGGACGTCGCCTCTGCAGATTTACCTCTCACCGGAAACACATTTAAGGTCAGAGTTCTTCCTCTGCGTTTCTGCTCGTGTGTCTGACGGCCATTCAACTATGTGCAATATGTGCCGTTAATAACTGTGTAAAATATACCTGGCTGCTAAATCCTAAGAATGGATTGTATTTTGAAAATGGTGAACAACGTGTGTGTGTGTGTGTGTGTGTGTGTGTGTGTGTGTGTGTGTGTGTGTGTGTGTGTGTGTGTGTGTGTGTGGTGTGTGTGTGTGTGTGTGTGTGTGTGTGTGTGTGTGTGTGTGTGTGTGTGTGTGTGTGTGTGTGTGTGTGTGTGTGTGTGTGTGTGTGTGTGTGTGTGTGTGTGTGTGTGTGTGTGTGTGTGTGTGTGTGTGTGTGTGTGTGTGTGTGTGTGTGTGTGTGTGTTCAGTGTGTCTCAGGTCACAGAGCAGAAGAAGCTGTGGAGATGTTGAAGACTTTCTACAGGCAGGAGAATCCAAACGGTGAACAGAAACTCTTTTCTCGTTCCTCCATCTGCTATTTTATATTTCTTGTTTACACTTTTTAGAAATAATTGACCCGCATTCTCATATTTGATCTATTCCCCATTTCTCTCATTGTTTCAACACCAATCCTCCTTTTTCTTCTTCTTTTTGAGTTTTCATGATTTATTCATACATTTCTAAATGTATCTGTATAGAGTCTTTAGTACCTTTTTACTCTATAACATTTATTATTATTATTTTAGTTATTATTAATTGCAATGTTTTTATTACGAAATCTCTTGTCTTGAATTTTCTTTTCTTTACGTAAAACATAAAGAAAAGAAAATTCACAATTTAAACATTTTATTTGTATTTTTTTATGTTCTCCTCTTCTTGTCCTCTTCCTAATTATAACCATATTATATGTTCTGTGTGTTTCAGCCCCGAAACCCAAAACAAGGAAGGAGTGACTGAGCTCTCCCGGAAATATCAAATCTAACATCAGTTTTCATTTTGAGTTTATTTTTATTTTTCATCATCACTTTTGTTAAATAAATATTATTATAAATTGTGTTTCATTGACTTCCTCAAACATTAGTGGCTGTTCCAACAATCTGCCAGCAGGGGGGGCAGTACTACTGTAACTCGTTAAACACACACACGCACACACACACAGTTTGATGTTACTAAGTTAGAGAATGTTTCACATCTCTCTTTCTCCCTCTCTCTCTGTGTGTGTGTGTGTGTGTGTGTGTGTGTGTGTGTGTGTGTGTGTGTGTGTGTGTGTGTGTGTGTGTGTGTGTGTGTGTGTGTGTGTGTGTGTGTGTGTGTGTGTGTGTGTGTGTGTGTGTGTGTGTGTGTGTGTGTGTGTGTGTGTGTGTGTGTGTGTGTGTGTGTGTGTGTGTGTGTGTGTGTGTGTGTGTGTGTGTGTGTGTGTGTGTGTGTGTGTGTGTTAGAGAGACTAACACACACACACACACACAGTTTATCGAATGTTTCACATCTCTCGTTCTCCCTCTATCTCTCTATAACACACACACACACACACACACACACACACACACACACACACACACACACAGACACACACACACACTTTACAGTAACTTCTGACAGATTGAGAATGTGGGCCTCTACAACATGTTTTCCTGGAATATGATCTGGTCGATATTCCAAGACATATCATGTGTCGTATTTATCGTCTCATCCATCTTATTTAGAAATTGCAATCCCTTGCAGAAAAATCATTATTATTTTGTATTGCATATTTTTTTTAAGCTGATACAAAAACCGACGGCAGAGTATCTTCTTTCCTCTGGCTTTTTTGTTCGTATGTAGCTTACTGTAAATGGACTATCTGCATGTGGTTGCACAACCCCGTGCCGTCCAATCACAATACATTTACCTTGATCCTTGAACCTTGTCGATGCATTTGCACTGCTACAATAATGGGAAGGTTAAAGGTAGGGTATGTGATTCACTTCAGAAACACTTGTTATATTCCATGGAATGCTCTTAACATCCCGATAGCAATAAATATATGAAATGCTTTGACAATAAATCCATTAAAAAACGTCATCAGTAGAAGCCGTAGCGCTGTAAAAAGCACGACCAATCATCTGAGCCGGCTAAAGTAACTGGATGGCCTACCTGCCTGTCAGCCTTCCATCACAAACTTATCTCGTGCCCTCATTGGTGATGTGCGCGTTCGTGTGTGTTGGAGGAGGGGCTCTGTGAGGAAGTCCGATTATTTTTCGGCTGCGTACTTTCAGATTCTAGCGCACTCGAGCTGGTTTCTCCATTCTTACCCTACTACCCCACCTTTAATTGATAGCTGTTTGATTGCTTTGTGAGAGAAGCTGTTTGAATCAATACTCTTCTAAGTACAATAGTACAATGACCACATTTAGTTGGGGTCACAGTCAGTGGCGTTTTCTCCCGGAGGCC